CCCGCCTCATTATATCCCTGCTAATAGTATTTGAGGTTTTACGTCCCCAAGCCACGAAACATTATAGGAACGCCGTGCTCCAAAAATTTTGGTCATCTGATGTCATACATCGCACAGGCCCTCTAGCATTTCACCTCCATCCTCCCACGTCCAGCAGCGTAACTGCTACGCATCGTATCCCTACACAGAACTAACCACGCAGCGACAAAGTTCTTTATGCCTCTCAAGTGAGCTCATAACTAAATGCGTGGGGTAGAAAATGGGGGAGGAGTTGTGGGTCCCCTGTTGAGCTTGGATATTTTGGTAACTGTTGCAATTTTATTCCGAGCTGCGTCGAGAAATTCGTGTTACACTCGCGTGCAACAACTAAACATTTTTTTAACCACTCCAACGCACACAATACCTAAGAAAATAGCGTGTTTTGAGCCGTTAAGCAAAGGAAGTTGTGCAAAAAAATTAAAGATTCTTTGCACGACTCTTCAGAACTCCTATACAGAGCTCTTACGAAGCCAGTAGACTTGCAAGAGTGGGCGTAGAACATCAAATGAGGTTCTGAATAATTACATAAACTACCGGTAGATTTCACTTTTTCATTCTTAATTTTTGTTTAATTTTTAATTTATATATGTCTCTTTTCTTTTTCCACTGTTTACTCACGTCTGTGCCAAAATGTCTGTTTTTTCATCTGTTTCACGGGTTACTGTGTTTTATATTCTTGATGTAACCACTATAACTGTCTGTGAGTATGATGTTAAGAAACAGCAAACTGGAACCCCACATATCCTACATATGTTCTGTGCGCGCTGTATATGCCGTCGGCATGTGGTGTTCTGAAGACACTAACCTGCCCGCATATAGTCCCCAGACCACTTTTTACTTGTTTGAAATTTATCGGCGCCATGTGGGGGTGAACACAACGCGCTTATACTGCTACCACAATAGGGGGCTTGCGTGAACCGTGGCCACGCTATGCACTCTGGGTAGGCAACCATTTTTTTGTCAAAGGCGGCCGGGGAGTGTAGAAGCATGAAGAAAAAATATAGAAGAGGCCATGATTTCATATTCATGAAGCCGCCACATTGCAAACACCCGCACTACCTCCTAGCGGAGAGGCAGATACATCGCGATTTCCGGCGAGCAGCCGCCGCAGCGGCCTTGGAAGCGGTGTTCTCTGCTGGCAGCCAGTCAATCCACGAGTGCTGCTCGAGGTCGCAATCCACGAGGTCGCAGGCGTGATCAAGAGCGACGAAAATTTATCTCCAAGCAGTGTCGTGAACGATGTCGGCCTCACTGGAAGCCTACACCGCAACGCTGTGCCAGAAAGACCTCGAACGGTACGAAGAAGAGACGAGAATTCGCTCTGAGTGGACCCATTCACGCTTCGTCCTCCGGAGGCTGTATCGTAAACATTTAGTCTCGCCGTCTCGTTCGGACACTAGGAAAGCCTTTCTAGCCACAGTTTCAGCCGCTGCAAATTGGTTATCTTCAGTGCAAGCAGAAGAAAGCTCATCTCAATTTCACGCACAGCCGACAACGGGACAATATCGCTCGCCGGAACGCTCATACAGCTAGCTGCTTCACGGCTAGCCAATGTGGCTCGACTCTCGGGCTGCTCAAGGGTTCGTAAAAATATTCAATTGTAATTAAGTGCACGACCAAGTGCGCTAAAATTACGCCAGCTTATTTGTGAATGCTTGAGAATTAACCCACAATACAAAGATTATGATTGAAAATAGGTGTCATGGCCCCTTTTACTGTAAAGCGCCACGTGTTAACAATGCTATGCATGCTGACCTTTCTTGTGCATGAAAATGAAGCCACTTATTTCAGCTGCCACTGTTTTACTTTCCCACTACTTCACACGCGGTGCAAGCAATGAGGAAAGCCACCGGACCGCCCTGCTTTTAACTAAATGTATTTGAGGAAACAAAAGCCAGCTTTTTTAACTGTTCCAATCTTCCCTTATTTGATTTGCCATACATTCAATTCAGATATGGACATTTTTTTTTTGTACAGATGAATGTCATGCATGCGAAAAAGGGTGTACATTTATTTATCAGTGCTAGTACGTGGATGGCTTGAAGGGACACTAGACAACTATTAATTCAACGTTGATTGTGGAAGTAGCGGTCCAGAAACATCGTAGTGTTACTTTTGTGCCAAGGAAGGGCCTATTTTAAATAAAATCAGGTTTTAGTGGTTTGCATCGGGTTAGCGCTCTTCGAATTACTCGCCTCAAGAAGCGGACCAATTCAAGTCGCACACTGTTGCCGTGCACAATGTTGCCCAGCTTACTGCGCTAGTAGCAGCACACCGAAAGCAGCGGGAGCCACAGCAGCAACAACCATGACCTACGAGATGGCGGGTGTGTGCGCCTGCTGTCTCGGAGGCCATAGCAAACGTTTTTTTGGTTTAACTGCACCCTCCTAGATGGCATTACCTGTCCAATGTAACTACGCGAAAATTGAATTTTTGAGTTGCTTGCACCATTATCCATAGTAATGCCCGGCGGTTCTTTTTTCCTGGAGTCAAGCAAAAAAGAACAGGCAGCATGTTATTGCATCTCTTGATGAACGGAAGGTTCTTTATTTAGTGCAGCTAAATCAATTACTAGTGATTAATTGTAGGCGGTCCGTCTGATGTCAACGCGATAATTTTGAGAATGTCCTACTGCGGCGCTTGTGTTCTTGTGCGTTTACCTTAATTTCTCAGTAAGTAGGGCACTGTTTTTGATAACATTGTCGTTTTAGATGTTGTCATACATTGAGCTATCACTCCCACGTAAATTTTTATTTGACTTTAGTGTCCCTTTAAAAGCAGCAGCACGTAAATTAACAAACAGTGGTGAAATGATCAGACTGGGCTCGGCAAGTAACTTGTGCTGCAAGCTGAAAACCATATGAGTCAAGCTTTTGTGAGACATGTTCACTGCTAAGCAAACCAAAGCGCTTAGAAGAGATTTGCCAGAGAGAGAATCGAGTATTTTAGTGACTTGTATTCTTTAAAATCCAAGTTTCAAAATTTGTTGCCTGATGGGGAAAAAAGCATCCATCCAGATTGTCTACTGTTGTTGAGTCATAAAATAATTACAACTTTACATTGATGGGCACATTATAGCCTTCGCATCACCTAAGCAAACTGAAAACGCATTTCAAGCCCTGGCACATGTAACACCGCCCCGTAAAGATCTTAACAGGGTCTCTCTTGTTTGCCAGTGTGTAATCAACATTGCGCCCGACTACATCGGCACTGTGCATCATGAAATTTTGATAAAAGATGTCGCATAATGCATTGCCATTTCATGACCAGATGAACAGTGCATGAACCTGGGACCAGTGCTTTAACAAGCAATCTCTTCTTCAAGGCTGCCCACCTGCCTGCATGCAGTACTGAAGGAGACAAAGGTGCTTGTCAAAATGATGGCGTCAGCAATTCATAAACTATTCATCTCTTCAGTCTTCCATCGTCCCTAGAACTTCTGCATTTCTTGCATACTTTTGCAGTAGACTGGTGTCATAAATGCTTGTCAGTCTAGTCACCTTAAAACTGAAGAAACTTGCAGAACTTTAATGCAAATCAATTTTAAAGAGATTTGCTTAAGACAGGATGTCTCCTGCATTTGCGACAGTCTTCAATGCCCATCCTAAATGAGTGTGCATTGAAAAGATATGTCTCCAGCAGCTCTAGTTGCATGCAGATGTAATGTGAAATGGTAGAGTTTCCTGTCTCTTTACAGGACATGTAGTTTCAATATCTAGTTCACAATTGCAACAATAAATCATTGCTATATTGTGATGCCAGAACATTTTAGATGTTTCACACTTCTCCTCGACAATGAATTCCTTGACACCTTGCTTAAGTTTCGAGTCCAGGCTGCTTTCGTAAAATGGTTCGGCAGAGATTTTAGGTTGCAAAAAGGCATGCTTTCTACAGCTGCCATCCGGATGAGTTTTAAAGGGGCACTGCAACCCTTTATGAGCGTGGTCTAAAAATGCTGCCGTCTCAGTTGTAGAGGCTCCCGATAACACGCGAGTCAAATATTATAGCAAAGCATGCAGGCTGGAATTCATAATAAATTATCAGTCAGCTAAAAATTGCTTTCCCTTCTCTCGACAAATCACCGAATATGCTCAAAAATCACACGCAGCAAGCCCATCTATCAGCCATTGGCTGATTTGAATGTGCCACGCGCGGTCTTTACAGAGATGGCTGAGAGAGGCCGCTACTTATCCACGCGTGTGCGCAATTACACTGAAAAAGCTGCACATTCGAAGAAAAAAAGATGCTCAAGGTCACGAGGTGCGCGTGACATTTTTATGTGGCCCTGCCATCCTTCCTTGCTTAGCTTGCAATGATTTCGTCGGGACGAGAGAAAAGAAAATGCAATTGCAGCACCCGACAAACCTCTGTAACTCCACTGGCACTGGACGGATTCTTAAAATTTTTGCGGCATTGAATTCGTGAGGCAATAAGCTCTTCCAGTGAATTCATTCCATGGTTGGTTGAAAAAGTGTTTCAGAACCCCCTTAAGTTTGCATAGAAGTTTTGACAGTGAAGTGCGCGAATCCCTCGCTTCTGAAAGGAACAGCTGCATTTTTTTAAACTGACATCACTACTAACGACTTTCACTTAGCGTTGCTTTTTCATCTCCTTATTGCAGCAATAAGGAGATGAAATAAATAAGGAGCAATGCCCGGCAAGAAAAAAAAGTTGGTGCTGCCTATGCTGAAAGCACCCTATCATGCGCATAGTGTAGGAAAGCACGCTATGCGCACGATCCAACAGCTCACATTGATATGTAAGGGGTGCATAGGATTTGTATAAAGGATGTAATTTTCACCAGTCATCAAGTGAAGAGCAGTCTTCATTATGAAAGTTGGCAACCAAGCCAGCAAAAAGGAGGCTTTAAAGCATTCTGTAGACCAAAGTGTGTACTTACAAACTAACCACTCATGGAAAATTGTTTTCTTTTGCAGATTTTCAAGTAAGAAGGGACAAAGTTTGAACATTTGCAAGTGTTCAGACACTCTGCTTTATTGCCGTAGTTGTTCCTTTCAAACTTTTTCCTGGCATCAAATCCACAGCAAAACTAAGTACATTATGTCCGCAGAGCAATAAAAAGGTCACTGTAAACACTACACGAATGACAGTTGTGTGCTGGAATTGTGTGCGGCTTTTATGCCGTTGCACACGGCAAGTGAGGTTGAATCCGAGAATAAGGGCTCTTGTTTCAGGTGATGCAAGTTCAGTGGTGATTAAAATTCATGGGAATACTTTTTCAAGAGGTAGCTGGATTTAGTTTATATGCACCTGTGCAAATACACACACTCGGAACTATCTATTTATCTACAGGCTTTTGCAATGAATTTTTCCTTTTGAGGTGTGAGCTGCAGTGGAAGTGAAGGATGATCTTGTTATTAGCTGAAAATTTCACAGGGTGTCTCTGTTATAAACAAACTTGAGAATCCTTATCATATGAACGTCCAAGATAAAGGAAGTTTTCGCCTAGATTACATGAGTAGTAATGTGATGAGGGCACTTAAATAAGTATGTATAAATAAATAATGGCGACACAAGGCGACATTCAAATCGCACCATTTTGCTCAGAGTTCGAGCTAGGCAGTATTCCACAATGTGTGCATAGGAATGTACATCACAGTCCAGTTCTGCTCATCGTAGTCTTTCAAAGCAAACACTAAGCGGATGCTATATTACACGTGTATGTACATGACCACCCCTACCCAATTTGTCACCACCAGTGAGTACAAAACGAAAAGTTCGTTGAAGATGCTTTTTTTTACCTGCGACTTGACTTAGATGAAGGGGGCCATCGGGGTAATCCATGAGGCACACGCACACACTTTGCTGTAGTACACACACTCACACACACAGCGGCGGCGTCAAATGTGCACGCTGGCGACATCGCTGCGCGCGGCTACCTTGCGATGCCGCGTGTCCGGCATGGCGTAGCGCAACTTGTCCCAGAACCTCTTCTCGCCCCAGCGCAGGAAGGTGCTAGACTTGAGCCAAAGCCTGATGTCCGGGTCCAGCTCCTTGAAGGAGACCCGACCAAGGAAGATGACGACAAGGTTTCTTCGCCGCACCCCGTGGTGGTGGGTGGACTTGAACTCGTAGCGGCACCACTCGCTCTTCAGGAAGTGCTCCGAGAGGATCACAATAGTCCGCCGGCTGCTCTCCACGGCCTCGCTGATGGCATCCGTCAGGTACCCGCCGGCCATGGGCAGGTCACGATAGTGAAGGCACAGTCGGTATGCCGGGATGCCGCACTCCAACTCGGGCGCCAGAATCTGCGCGACAAACGACTCGTCCTTCTTGCTGTAAGAGACAAATGCATCGAACAGCTTTTCCTCCTCAGCCTCGGCGCGCAGGCACACGCGCACTCCACACCGGGTGTACAGCCACACGCTGACAGGGCGACGGTACGCCATGGCCAGACTCACTGTGCACACCAGCACGAGCAGCAGCACGCCCGCCACCACCAGCGCAGGCAGCAGCAGTGGCTGGCGCTCGTGGCCGCTCACCTCGTTGGAAGATGACGCGTTGGTGCACAGGGTGGCGTTGTTCCACAGGAGGGGCACCACCGTCGTTTCGTTGTGCATGCAGTGAACACTAAACAGGTCACGCACCCGATGATCCCCGCCGGCCGCGGCGACGAAGTCCGCCAGCTCATGCGCAAAGTGGCACTCGCACGTCCACGGGTTGTCGGCCAGCCGCATGTCGCTCAGTTCGGCCAGCTGCGCTGGCAGGGCCATGTGGACAATGTAGTTGTGGTCCAGGTGCAGCACCCGCAGAGACCTTAGTGGCACGAACGTGGCATTGTTGACGCTCGTGAGCTGGTTGTACGAGAGGTAGAGCTCCCTTAGCTCTCCAAGCCCATCAAACTCGAATCCATGCAGTGCGGCCAGTCGGTTGCGGTCAAGCCGCAGCACTCTGAGCGTGCGCAGGCCGCTGAACGTCCGGTTGTGGATGGTGTGCACGTTACTGGCGTTCAGGTGGAGCACCTTCATGTTCTTGCGGCCGATGTAGGTATGGCTGGACAACGCGGGTATGTCATTACCGTCCAGGTACAGCTCGGTCACGTCCATCGGCAGCTGCTTCGGGACGGCACCGTTTGCTCGGCCGCCGCTGCAGTCCACGATGTTCGTGTTCCAGCTCTGGTCGTAGTAGCAGGTGCAGTTGTCTGGGCATACCATCTCACAGTCGCATGCGTCGAAGTCGCAGCAGTGGCAGAGCGCGAAGCAGTGGTTGCGGTAGCGGCATAGAAACTCTGATGAGTGCGCCTGCACTAGCGGCAGGGCGCGGCGGCGTCCGAAGCTGAGCCGGCACACCACGTCAGCCAGGTCGACCACACGCGGGTACTGCCTCGAGTCATCCAGGAGGCTGCTGCCTAGCCGCTGCAGCCACTCCATGCGGCAGTCACACAGGTACGGGTTGTCGGCCACCATGAACTGTGGCAGGGGCCGCCCGGATGGCACCTCGCTCAGCCGAAACATGGTCATGTCAAGCGTGTCCAATCGGTTGTCAGTCAGGTCGACGCGCGTCAAGTTCTGCTTTCCGAGGAATGTGAAGGGCTGGATGCGACGCAGCTGGTTTCCTTTCAGGAAGACGATCTCGATGCCGTTTGGCAGCGAGGACGAGTCAAGCTCGGTGAGCCGGTTGTGCGACACGTCCAGCGTCCTCAGCTTCAGAATAGACTCCAGCTCAAAGTAGTTCCCCAACGCCTCCACCTGATTATCGTGGATGTCGAGCCACTGCAGGCCGATGGGAATGAGCGCGTAGTCGAACCATCGGACGCGGTTGGCCGATATGTTGAGCATGATGAGGTCGTGCAGGTTACTAAAAAGGCCATTCACGTCATCCAAGAAGTTTGAATCCAAGCGCAGCGCATGCAGGTCCGGAATGTCGTCGAATGTGCCTTGTTCAATGGACTGGATTCCGTTGCGAGCCAGGTTGAGGATGCGCAGAGACGGCAGCTCGCGGAAGACGCCTTGGCTCAGGTTGCCGATGTGGTTGCCCATCAGGTTCAGGCCATACAGCTGGCGCAGCCCCTGGTACGAGGCATTGTGGATGTCTGTGATGACGTTGTCGGCCACGTCCAGCGAGCGAAGCGACTGCAGTGTTTGCACCACGGGGGGCACGGCCGGCAGCCGGTTTCCGGCCAGGATAATCTCCTGCAGGTTGGATGCGTTGTGGAAGGCGTCCGCCGCCAGGGACTCGAGCCGGTTGTGGTCCACATACAGCCCGCCGAGCGCCGACAGCCCGGAGAAGGTGTGGCCTCCCACGCGCGTGAGCCGGTTGTGGCTGAGGACGAGCGTGTGCAAATTGTAGAGCGAGCCGAAAGCCGAGTCAGCCACGGACTCGATCAGGTTGTGCTGCAGGTCGAGCGTCTGCAGGTTGTGCAGAGAGCGGAACGAGGCCCCGTCCAGCCGGGTGAGGCGATTGTGCGACAGGTCGAGCGCCGCGAGGCGCGTCAGGTCGGCCAGGGTTCGGGGCTGCGCGAGCCAGGCGGAGGTGAGCTGGTTGTGCGCCAGGTCGAGCATGGTCAGTTGGTGCAGGCCCGCGAACAGGGTCGGCGGCAGAGCGCTTAGCGAGTTGTTTCGCAGGTAGAGCTCGGAGAGCGAAGCCTCGGCCGGCTGCAGGAAACGCGGCGGCAGGCTGACCATCGCGTTGTGCGCCAGGTCGAGGCTCTGCAGCCGCGCCAAGCCTGACAGGGCCCCCTGCTCGGCGCGCGCGATCAGGTTATGGTCGAGCCTGAGGTGGCGCAATTGGCGCAGCGGGGAGAACGCCTTTTCGGGCAGCAGGCGCAGCTCGTTGTGCGCCGCGTCCAGCCTATGCAAGGGCGGAGAACACTCGGCGAACCCCATCTGGCTGGCGTCCGCGAAACGGTTGCGCGTCAGGTTGAGCAGCGCGAGTTGGACGAGCGGACAGAGGATCGATGGCGGCAAGTAGTCCATGTTGTTGCGGCTCAGGTCTAGCGCGACGAGCTGCCGCAGGGGCGTCAGGCTGTCGGGCGCGAGGCGCAGCGTCCTCGTCCCCCACTCGTCGTTGTGCGTGCGCAGGCTCAGGTTGTGCAGCTCGGCGAGGCCGGAGAAGGCGAGCGCAGGCAGGCTGTCCATCTTGCAGCGCTCGATGGCCAGCGAGCGCAGTCCGCTCAGGTGGCCGAACGAGCCGTTGCTCAGCTCGCTCGGCACGAGCAGGTCGTCGCATCGCACCGTGAGCCGCGCCGTGTGTCCCGGCTGGATCAGGCTGAAGTTTGTCGGCTCGGGCCCGCCGCTGAGGGAGCGCACGGCGCAGGTGAGCGCAACTCCGGCGGCGTCCAGCGGCTCCCAGCGGCAGTCCTCGGGGGCGACGTAGCGAGCCGCGACACCGGGCCGCACGGCGCCCAGCCACCCGAGCAGCAGTAGCAGCGGGGGGGCCAGCACGGGCCGCCTCCTCATCGCGTCGGCCGCATAGTCACCCGGCGGCGGCACATCACACTCCTCGGCTGGCCTCCTCCGCGACGACTGGAATGACCGGTTGGCGCGTCGCCGGGGTGCTGGGTCGACCTCACTGCGCCCGCCCGGGGGGAGGCCGCCGCCGGCTCAGCCCGCCACCGCGCACCCCTCGTCGACCTGCGAGAATTTCTTTGTTCACCTCTGTGACCACCGATCCCCATTTGCTCCATTGTGCGACTCGCTCCTCCTGCAAACGTCTGGTCGTGGTTATACGATCGAAAAAATGGGGGCTTGGGCGAGAAATCCCGCTTCAGAAATATCATCTATGGGTCACACCGCAGACTCCAGCCCACACGTCACAATTATTACGAGAAACATTTAAACACGGAACGGGTCAAAGCAGGTGACTGTAAAAGAAAATCGAAGAACAGTGTTAATCGGTATCTGTGCGTGGGAAAACGCGAGCTCACGGCTAGCTTTGTCAAAGGACGTTTTATAAACTCCCAGTTCGAGTCGGTGAAAGATAATTTCAATAAGGAAAGATGGATTGAGTAATTTCAATTGCTTTCAAAAGCTTCTTTGCATTTTTGTATTGAATAAAGCTTCATGTTTGGCCTAATGAACACTCTTTTATTCGTGGAAACAACATAAATAGAATGAACGGCTCTTATCCATAATAAGGTTTACGCTGCGTTAGCGTTGCATACATTGAAAGGCGTGTTTGCGTTGCTGTGAGTTATGGAATTTGACGAAGGACTCCCAAAAACAAGAGGTAGCAAGGCTCATGCAATGTTGTAAATATTAACAGTGTGTTAGTTTCATAAGGAAACTATCGTCGGCAACAAGGTGCATTAAAATCTTTCTCATTACAGCGATAACGTCACAGAATACAAAATGTAGTCATTTCGATGTATTTATTTACTTTAATGTATCTTACATGGGCATTGAGTAACGGGTGCTAGACAGCAATCGTATAAGTCAATAGTTGCTAATTGACCTTATTTATACTATGGACCATTCTTCTGGTCCAAGAAGGAGGGGCAAAAGAAACATGACAGCAAGAAAACATGAATTCGTTGCAAAAAAAAAAAAAACATGTATCTATACGAGCTCACATTATTGTGCAACAGTGATGAGATTTATAATACATTTCAACACTAAACACCAAAGAGATCATTTTCCAGTGATGTAACAAAATTGTCGGTCGAAAAAATCTTCCGGGGCAGTGAATTCGAGTCATTAACTGTTGTGGGAAAACAACTGTGTTTCTAAGCATTAAAACTGATTGATATGTGGTGTTGAAAGTCCCAAAACCACCACATGATTATGAGAGACGCTGTTGGGGAGGGCTCCGGAAATTTAGACCACCTGGAGCACCCAAATATGAGCCCATGGCCCTACAGCAGTTTCGCCTCCATCGAAAATGCAGACGCCGCAGCTGGGATTCGATCCCGCGATCGGCGGGCCAGCAGCCGAGTACCCACACCAACGCGGCAGGGTGGTTCGTAAGCATTAGTTCATGCAAATATGGGTGCTAAAAATTGATCATGTTTACGGTGGGTTAACATAGCAGTGGCTGGTTGGACACTACGAGGTACATTTAAGGCAACTTTCCCGGACATAATTTTGTATGAGAACGTTAAACAAGTCACCTTTCTTCTTGTTTCTAACAAACGTATTTCATTAATTTCATTAACATGCTCAGTGAGTTCAGTCTTCGATACTTGTTAAAAATAACTCTACTTGCCTTTCATTTTATTTTTTAAAAAGACATAACATCTTTTTTTTTTTGTAAAAGGGTCCCATATGACTGCAGCATAATCTAGTTTAGATAGAATGACAGTTTTGTTAGCCAAAACCTTTATGCTAGAAGGAGCACATTTTAACTTCCTTCTTAGGAACCATAATTTACGAAGCGCCTTTGTGCAAGAATCTGTTATGTGCGGTGTCCAGGTAAATTGCTGCTGAGAGTATTTATAATTATTTACAAGCAATACTAAACTACCATAAAGGATATATGGAAAAGCTACGGGAAGTTTTTTTCCTCGTAACGCGTTACAAAACAGTTTTTTTCCCTGAATTTAGCACTATATATATTCCACTTACTACACCAGTCATCAATAGCCATAAAAGCGTTCTGCAATACATTCTGATCAGCTGTATTGACATAGGCGTACCAGCCGGGGGGGGGGGGGGGGGCAAAAAAAAACGCAAGCCCACCCCCCCACCCATCCCACTGAGAAAAAATAGTCGCCACACTTTCAACAGTCCATGGTCTCTGTTGGCTAGGGAAAGCAACAATTAAGGCGAAGTTTTTCTTCACCTCCGTAATCACTCAAATATGTTGTTACGAGGGAATATTGCAACAGAGTGAAATTTCTCGCAACATTTTTGCTGTGATGATTTTCCTTGTATACGCTCTTGCGGTGCGGGCCGCCTATGCGGCTCTTTCGCGCCTTGTGCATTGCAGAGCAGGCCAGCGCTGAACAGGGGCCATTGCATAACCTGTCCACGCTTTCATTCTGCTGTGACTGGCCGATGCAGTTACGGATGCGAACGAGCAAACATTTTATGGACTGGTAAAACCATCTGCTGCTTCAGGAAAATTATTTTCTTTGATCGAAAATGAATGTCATCACCGATGCTTTGTCGAAGCTGATGTGAGCTGATGAGTGTTACGATTCTTCTTTATTGTTCTAGTGTTATCTGGAAGCGCGAAAAAAGGGTTTTTGCTTTAGTTTCCGATAAACCTGATCAGCCTTACTTATGGTAACTTGGAGCGATGGTGGCAGCTTGCAAAGTGGCGACGAATAAAGCGGTTGACTCGAGCACAGTGGGGAGCTCAGCTTTTAAGCTTGCCCCTTTGCTTGACCCACCGGGCCAAGGAAGGTGAAAAACTATGGTTTCCAGCACCATGTAGGCTTAATTGAGAGTGGGGCTAGTAAATTTCCATTCAACTTGAATTGTCTTTCGCAGCTCAAAATACAACTTGGGCAGCCAAGAAGCACACACGTTCAACGCTGCTTATTTCTCCGTCTGTCTCTCAACAAAGACGAGCTCAGAGATGTGTGCGCGCACAAACTACTAAACGTATTGATGCGGCAAGTAAAAATATTTTATTATACTCATATTATTTCATCTCGCCAGCTGCTATAAGTAGCCGTTGATAATGTGACCAGTGGCCAGTCTACTTGAATAATATTTAGAAGATGCTCTCCGACTACCTTCAAAAGTTTTAGGTATTGTTCAGCACATGAATGCCCTGTTTAATATGCATGTGCTGTAATGAACACCACGACATTTCACAGATTCGTGACGTCATATAACAAGCAGGTGATCTTATGGCACACAGACAATTTTAAATGCCGAAGAACCAATGGCAAACAATATGCCGTATTATGTAAAAATAGTTGATTCTCTTATTTTTTACGTGGTCGTTTATAAGTGGACCTTGTATATGTATTCACAGTGCTCCATGTTTGCTCTGGTATTCCCCAGTAAAGTGTCCTGAGTGCATTGTTTTTTCTAATCTATGTGAATGAATTGGTCAATATCGCGCCCCAGGAAATTTCGGTGCCTTCATTTTGAGACATCGCCAGAGAGATGTATTTGATGCGATGTGTAATTTCATTCAAGCCACTAAACGTATTTCAACATACTACCCACTTTAACAAATGCTCAAAAAAAGTAGCCGGGAAGTGATTTTTAATATGTGGATAAATACGAGACATACGTCGCAAATCATTCGTGTTTGGCAAACTCAGCTGTCTGGTCGGCTCCAAAAACCAAGTTATGGTTATTATATTAGTGATGTTAGTACGCCTTTATCAGTGAGCTGAAGACTCTTTTATTGGGGGAAACGCAGAGGTAAAGCCGACCAGCTGTCAAGCGGAGCGAGCAGCAACAACACTCTCCCTTCTCTTCTTTCACTGGTGCTCCTGCCTGTGCCATATATCAATGCTACAGTGATTATTTTCTCACATTTTAAAAAATTTCCCACTCTCTAGATTTTCAGTTTTTTGTCTTCCTTTTTGTACGTAATTTTTTGTGGGGTAAGCAATAGTACACGTAACGTCCATAGGATGCTAAATGTTTTCTTGGCCTATTCCCCAGAGTGGGCATGTGCCATGGATTGCATGTGCACCACATGATTGGCTTCCGACCAGGGTTATCCACTCAAGACGCCATGTTACTCCTAAAGCATCAAATTCTAGATGGCGGAAACACTCGGGACACTCGTGCAATACTCGGTCTCGATTTAGAAAAGGCCTTCGATACAATAACGCACTCGTCAATCTTGAAAGCGATCGCAGCCCTCGGCCTAGGTCACCGATTTTACTACTTTATCCGCTCTTTTCTCACTCGACGCAGAGCCGTCCTCCGCGTAGGAGACCTAGTGTCGGAAGAAGTGGAGCTCGGACAGTGGGGCACTCCTCAGGGATCCGTCCTTTCACCCACGCTCTTCAACCTCGTGATGATCGGCCTTTCTGAACGACTTTCAAAAATAGACGGGCTAAATCACACTATCTATGCGGATGATGTAACCATATGGTGCTCCACAGGGTCGGATGGCTTCATTGAGTCCGCCCTGCAAGAGGCTATCGACACCACCGAGTCTTACCTCGACCACACCGGTCTTAGGTGCTCACCTGCGAAGTCGGAGCTGTTGATATATTTGCCCAAACGCCGGGGTGCCAAGCCCAAAGGGTGGAAACCTCCGGCGGAACGCAATATCACCCTCCACACCAGAGATGGTCGTACTATACCCAGGGTAGAACACATCAAGGTCCTCGGCATGATCATCGAGTCCCGCGGAACCAACACCCATACAGTACACAAGCTCAGGACTAAGACTGAGAATGCCATACGACTCGTACGTAGAGTAGCCAACAGGCACCATGGCCTCAAAGAAGACAACCTGCTGCGTCTCGTACACGCGTTTGTTTTGTGCCATTTTACCTACGTTGCCGCTACACACAAGGGCTACGTGCTGAGCGCGATCAACTCAATGCGCTTATTCGCAAGGTGGTCAAACGAGCCCTTGGCCTCCCTATCACCACTCCAACGTACAAACTCCTCGAGCTTGGCGTACATAACACGCTAGAAGAGATTGCCGAAGCTCAGGAACGTGTGCAATTGACCCGACTCACTACCACCAAGGCGGGCCGCCATATTCT